AAAAAAAAAAAAAAGTTTACGTGACATTCTGTAACTTTTGAGATTGAAAGTCTTGCTGTTTGTAATTAAATTTAACAATGAAATAACTTTGCTACTTTTCTTTAAACTTGAACATTCTATAGTAGACGACAGCAGCCAATCTGTAATTTTTTGGTGTGTTAGTAATCATCTCACTAGTTACGGTTGTCAAAGTAGTTGCTGAGTAACTTTGGAAGGTGAAGCCATCTAACTAGCCACCAACTACAAACACAAAAACAGCCTTGAAGTAAAGGTGGAACAAACCAGACAAAATACAAGAAAGCCTTACACTTCTCTAGAATCTTGTTTGAAGGATTAGCGGATAATTCCTCCCTAACTGTTGCTCACCCTCACGATGAACTGGACTGGAGGCCGTCTCCATCGATCCTCATACAAGATGAAGTTATCCTCCAAAAACGTTGGGAGACAACGTGTTGCTCAAGCTAAAATACGCATGGTAGATAGGCCGCCAGATACTCTATCGTTTGAGGTTGCTACTGAAGCACCGGGTAAGGAAGGCTGCGATAATGGACACGCTGGCACCATTCGAGCAGTTGACGACCTTGGAGCAAGCTTTCAGAAAGCAAAACAGCCAGCATATTCAAATACCGAAGATCCTCGATCAAAAAACTATTGTCACTCTCAGATAACCAAGCCGAGTTCCATAGGTTCCCCTGCGGTTAGAGTTGAGGAGATGAGAAAGAAGCTACTTGATAAGAAAGACTGGGCAGGTCTTAGCCTATCACGACCGCATAAGTTACATACATCATGTGGCAAAGTTAGAGGGAGACTTGGAAGAAGGCAGTCATTCCCTTATGGAAGAAATCCCATCCAATACTCCCCTCAACGAGGACACTTTTCTCTTCCGATGAAACGCCGAAATATTGCACAACCACACTTATACCCAACAAATCAGCTAAATTCCGATGATATTAGTATATGGATTGAGCAACAACAAGAGGAGCCTCGGTATGAGGCTCTCCACAATGAAATGTATATGGAAGCCCAAGAGTCAGTGGAGCCGATATCGTCTGATAACAACACAAGCAGAGATAGATCAACTAGGTCTCCTAGGTCTACAACGCGCAATGCGCGCTCTATATGTCAGTCAGGCATGAAGACACCACGATATGCTGCTTGTGGTAATCGTGTCGACAACGAGCAATACCAATTACAATTGGGTAAACGGCTAGATATCTCCCCAAGTCCCGATCTATCAAACCTACCCGTTCTAGATCGCCGTGGCTCGTTTGCTACAATCGATGGTCAGACAAGATATGTGCCACCGCCATCTTCTAAACCCAGCAGTTCGAGTTCTCCAGAAGATAGTAGGATGAAGTCATCAAGGAATGCAGATGAATACTGGTCTCGGAGAAGAGCCATGTTATACCATAGTCAGAGATACCAAGCACAAGATATATCTCCGCGAAACACTAAGTGTATGGAAGTAGCAAACAACCTGACCGGATGCTCTTCAGAATATTCGTGTGGCGATAACACTGCCATGATACGACAGAGGGAGGTAACTGGCGGCGTGGAAAAATCTAAAATAGGAGACTTTTCAACGTCCTCTTCTGACCAAGCCACTTTTTGGCCTAACACTATCCCATCACCCTTTAGGAATGAACCCAGTTGCCTCTCTTATCACCCGATACCCTCCCCACAGTCGAACAGAGAGCAACATTCCATTAACCAAAGTGAGTATCAACAGTACCGTCAACTAGGTAGGCCGGCATATAATTCAATTCTTTATGGCAGCCCTCAGCCGAGGACGTATTTTGCTAGGTCATCATCGAAACCAATGTCTTACGGCATCAATTCCTCAATTCCCATGCCAGCTGTTCAAAACTATAGGGTACTCATATACGGCCAGGAATTCGATATATCGAAGGAATGTTATTTATAATGATAACTACTGGGGGGAAGAACTCCTTTGGTCTATTGTTGACCTTGTCTCCGGTGACTGGGAGCATACAAGACCAGTATGTGAGATACGTGGCCCTGTAAGCCGACAGTCCCACCAACCAGATATGGTAATTGTCTAGTTCCTAAAGTTCTGAGAGGATCCTACCTGGGAGTTTTATTTGAGAGTTCCCGTTGCAGAGGATATAAAGGGAATAACGCGGAGGTATGGTGGCATCAAATGTAAATATCGATAATATACTGGAAAGTCTTGAATAGTTACCTGAATCTTGTAGAGCTGCGTTTACCCGTGAAGCACTTGCGCTAACATTGCTGGCTTCAATGGCTGACTGTTTTTGCAGTGTTGGGTATCTAACGGCTACCTAGATAGACATGTACTGGCTCCGCAATTTCAAGATCGGCATCAAGCGCCGACGCCTATCGGCCCGACAGGGGCACCTAACGGGAGGAGGTGGGCACCTGATGGATGGAAAGAGGTTGGGTAGTTACCTCGGTACCTCACTCGGATGGAATGAATGATGATCCGACGGCGGATAAGGTTTTAGGTAGCCCGGGGCTTAGTAAGTAAAGTTCCAGCCTTACGATCATAACAACGCTGAATGTCTCTGCCGGTGGATCAGGCAAACAGCCTCGACAGGTCTTCGATATCATGGTTGTTTAAGAAAAGTTCCAACACTACGGCTGAACCGATGGGCAGCATAGTTATATCTGTCATTTCCTCCCTCTCCATCCTCGCATCTGTTGTCCTCTCATCCCCTACTCGGCCTGCCACCGGCATCTTACCTCTTGTGATATGGCATGGCCTGGGAGACAGCTACGAAAATGACGGCATGAAAAGTATCGCGCGACTTGCAGAAACAACAAACCCAGGCACACATGTCCACCTCATTCGATTTGGCGCGTCTGGGACCGAAGACCGAGATGCCACATTTTTTGGCAACATTACTGCCCAGGTCGACGAGGTTTGCCAGACGCTGGCGTCGGATCCCGTAATAAGCAACGCCCCAGGTATAAATGCGCTAGGTTTCTCGCAGGGCGGTCAGTTCCTGAGAGCATACGCTCAGCGTTGCAACAAACCTCCGGTTCACAACTTGGTCACGTTTGGTAGCCAGCACAATGGGATTGCGAGCTTTACGGCATGCAAGGATTCTGGCGACTGGCTATGCTGGAGTTTCAATGCTCTACTGCGCTTCGGAACTTGGTCTAGCATTGCTCAGTCTGGTCTGGTTCCAGCGCAGTATTTCAGAGATCCAGAGGAGCTAGACGACTACCTGAAGTACAGCAACTTTCTCGCTGATATCAACAATGAGAGAGCAGTAAAGAATGCGACGTACAGGAATAATCTGATGAAATTGAACAAGTTTGTGATGTACATGTTCAAGGATGACACTACTGTTATCCCAAAGGAGAGCGCTTTTTTCACGGAGGTCAACGCCACGTCAGGAGAACATACGAAGCTGCAGGATCGGCCAATGTATAAGGAGGACTGGCTTGGGCTGAAGGTACTGGATGAACAGTCTCGCTTGGAGTTCCTAACGATACCTGGCCGCCATATGCAATTGAGTGAGGCTCTGTTGGTGCAGAGCTTCCACCGTTACTTTGGTCCTGTAGAGAAGTCAGAGGCCAAAGATGCTGGAACCACAGATTTCAAAGTCCAGGAATAGTTATTGTAGCATTCAAAACAAATTTAATACTTCATTGTTGCAAATACATGATTTTGCTATCGGCCAGTTTATACAACTAGAATGCAACGACATCACCTGACGAATCCTGCGGGCTCAAACCTGTCGGCTTCATTAAACAAGTGGCGGGAACGATCTTTCTCGGCTTTTCGGCATCTTGACAGTTTAGCCAAGGGGCGACGGTGCCGAATGAATACGATAATCATTCTAACGGATACCATTGAGTCAGAGCATCAAACTAAGCAAATTCCTCCAAGAACGCTAATATCAACCAACACAGCATTCGACAAATACAAGCGACTACTATCATCAAGGCAGAAAGAAAAGCAGCCTGATATTATACGTCAGGGGCCACAAGAAGCACTTCTCATTATGCCGGATATAACTGCTACAACCCCAAAGACATGGGTCTGCCCCACTAGACACGGGGAGACGAATGAACTTCTGGTCTCCATGGACAAATCACTGCTTTCAATTGCCATGATGAACGAAGAATTCGAAAAAGACTATATATACTGGGCCAAATCTATGCCTAGGGAAGCACTACAGACGGCTATCGACTCCTCGCTTTGTTTCGGTCTATTCGAGCGAATTCACGATCCTACGACAGATTGCATGGACCATGAAGCATCCAAAATAGCACTCCAGGAACAATCTTCCCTTCTGAAGCAGATCGGGTTCGCCCGCTTGGTTACAGACAATGTAACATTCTTCTACCTTTCCGATGTGTTCGTCATGCCCGAGTACCAAGGAAAAGGACTGGGTTCATTTTTGGTCCAGTGTATCAAGGAGGTGCTGGATGGCATGAAACACTTGCGACGATTCATTCTGATGACTGGTGACAAGAATACGGGAAAGTACTATGAGAGACTGATGGACGTTAAAATGCTGGGTGAGATTGGGAATGCGTATATCCTGGGACGCAAGGGCCCGGGGAGCTGTGTATAGGCAACATATGAACTCTGCATGTTGATGTCAATTGATTATGCACTGAATTGAAGTTGATAGGGAGTATGAATTTGAATGAAGGCACAATCAATGCTAGTGCAGAGATTTGGCGCGTGTCCTCAAGCCGTTCCCAGCCGACACCCATTCAAAATTTCCACGGCCGTATCTGACATATATGTCCCGTGCCATCTGCCACCGTTTAGTAGGGCGCCTATCTAAAGCCCAAAAGATAACTGGTAGATTCTTCGGCTTTAAGTGAATTTGCTGTGACGAACGAGTTTTTGTTCGGTTGAAAAGAGAATGAGGATAAGAGGATTACGTAAGTCAACCCATATATGTCATGTGATAGGCTTTGAGGCTCCTGCCGGATGCTTAGTAAGAGAAGGATCAACTATAATTCGCATCAATGGAAATTAGAGAAATCAATTATGTCAGCATAGTATTAATACTTTCCCCTGCGCCGAAAGTAGAAATGGCAACTTCAACTCTTCACAACGCTGAATTACGGCATTGTTTTCAACTACGATCAACTGCGGTTAATTACTAGGACTTGCCCTCGAAGGATCCTGAAATTGAAGGAATTCGTGATGAATCCCCTAAGGAGCCACCATCCGTACTCAACTTGCCGATGAGAGGTTCCAGGGGGTGTAAATGACATGAAAAACGGGATATTGCAGCGCTGGTTCCAATATCTCAGCTATTGCAAAATGCAACTAACCAAAGAGCGTTATAATATCATGGCATCTGAGTGGTAGTAAAGGTCCGAGACAGCCGTAGTTCTTGATGTGTCTAAGTATGGCTATCGTGACCTATGGAAGCTTGAACTTCATATTCCCTAGGGGTTTTGGCCAAAAGTTGCTTGATATGACTTATGCATATATACAATTGCCGCTGCATACGGAACTTTCCGCCCGGGCAGCTGCTTACCTCTAAGTAGAGCCCTTT